AATATCAATTTAATATCCATTATTAAGCAAAGCCCTTTTCTCCTTTATTTACAAACCTGGTTTCTACAAATATACTAGTATATTAAGTATTTGCTGAAGACTGCCTGGCAAAGCTATGACTTCAGTGTAAACAGTTTCCTTCATGATTCATTTCACGTGAGCTGTCCTTTAAGCCACGTGACCATTGCTCCATTTAGGCAAGTTTCAAATAAAAATCAATCCATACAAACAGTATGCGGGTATACACACATTCGTTTGCTATTTAGAGCCTAAAAAAAAAAAAAAAAAAAAAAAGAAGAAGCAGCTCCATGGACCCAGAAGATGCCCCTAGGCTACCAAGTGTAGCAGATTGGGGAAAAAGAGCCCACCTTCATACACCAAGTAGCACAGATACAGCCTGGATAGCTAGCACTGGCAGCTAGCAAGGGCAGACTGAACTGAGAAAGCTCATTCCATTTTACAGAATTTCAAACATTTCTTAAAATGAATTTTTTATTCTAATTTGTGATGAAGGTTCTTCAGATTCTTCAAAAAATGCAAGAGCTGTGGCCTGAGGAATAGGGGAAGGGCTCTGCATGATGAAGCTACTCAGGAGCTCGATGGACAGCATTGCAGGAAAGTGTGTGGATTGCACAATGCTGCCTAGGCACACACTGACTGTTCAGAGCCCACCATCTCCACATACTAAAGGGTCAACAAGGTCCCAAAGAAAAAGGCGTTTCAAGCACAGTTTTGCTCTTTAGCCCTTCACTTGACCCTAGCCTGCCTCTAGGGACACTCTGACTGCTAAGAACCTCACTCCATGGCAAAAAAGAAAAGCAGCCACACTGATGCTCTGCAAAGGGAGGAGAAAAAAAAAAAAAGCACAAAAAGCCTGGCAACTCTAAGGTGAGACACAGAGCTGCTGAGGAACAGAAGACGCAGATTTTCCCACCCTCGGGAACTAGAAACGTATGGGAGGACAGAGGCAGTGCAGCCCTTTTCAAATGAATCACTACTCATACTTCAGCCTGTGAAACACCAAAGTAGTCCTTGGTAGTCGTGAAATCACTAGGAATACTTGATAACAAAGAATTACATAAACTACTGAGAAGAGAAAGAAAAATGCAACAAAACACACACTCAACAAGCCCAGCATACAGATCTACTCATCAAGATATTCACAGATTATTTTGTAGTAATCAGCCCAAAATGAAAAGTTTTAAAGTACAAAATCAGAATCCTTAACTTAAAGCTCTGATTCAAGTCTGTAACTCAGCAGGGTTAAAACACAAGTGTCCTTCCCTCTCATAATTCAGGTGCCTCATCGTATAAAACATATGAGGCAATAGGACACCAACTGTGGAACATCCACTAGTTTGCTTCCCTTGTATAAGATTAATAAACCTAGAAATTAATAAGCATGCAATAAACAGCCACTGCATTTTAATCCATGCCACAGCACTGCATGCTTTCAGTGAAGAACGTAAGACAGTATGGAGAACCATCAAAGCAAAGCTGTACGATTTAGCTGAATAAACATCACCTTCATTTAAAATGATGCACCTGAAGTACTCCATATACTTTACATTATCAATGTTGATTTCAATAACATTTTCACCTGCATAATATTAGTATGTGTCAGCATATCATATGTGCACTAGACCTGAGCTGTTCTGTACAAGCTTCTTCCCCACTACTCAGCTGAGGGCAACTGAAGACCCCCGACAGACAGGCTCTGCTATTCCCAGGGAGGAAGGACTCATCATCATGCACTCCACCCGCAGAGCCAGACCAGGAAACCTGCTTGTACTATCAGTTTGCAAACCTCTCTCTAAAAAGCCCTCAGACAACCACTATGAAGCTAGCAGCCCTGCTTCTAACTGAAAATTTGCCCTTTTTTTGATATACAGAGTACAAAGAACAATGAAGATGACTAGAAATAGCACAAAGTGTCCAAGCACAGCAGGAGGATGCAGAAGACATGGCTGAGGCGAGAGCTGCCCTCACCTCCTGAGCCTATGGGTGTAGCAGAAGTAGAAGGACAGGATGCAAGATTAGTGAAGCTGTTCCTGGGCTGGATAAATGTGAGCGATGAGGGAAGTCTGCAAAATTAGATTAGAAAAGCCATGTCAAAGAATACTGGGTCAAGTGCGGGGGGAAAGACAAGGAGAAGAATCCAATCACTGTTGAGATCTCAAAGATCTTAAGAGTATAAAGAGAGAATGGAAAAAAGGGGAGAAAAAAATATAGGAGAAAAAGCAGCATTAGGTCTACTGTAAGAGCGTACAAACAGCTAGAAAAATGAGAGGTGGTGATGAGAATGCTAAGAGTGTAAGTAAATATTCTGACTTTAGAATAGTAGGATGAACACTAATAAGGAACCATATGATTTTCTGACTTCCCATGAAATCTACATCTTACTGGAAATCACTTACATTTGAGCTAGGAGAGCCTGAGAAATAAGCATGAACACTGCGAACAACAATCACATAAAATTTAGTGCCTGTCCCAGTGATCTTGGTTTATAAAGGCTCCACATTCAGAGGAGTGGGGTGGTAAGCAGCAGCAGCAGCTCAGCGGTGCCAAACAGATACTTCTCTAAACTCAAACGGCGCCAACTTTCCATCTTTCAGCAGCCTAACGCAGTTATGATTCGTGTAGGTTTTGAGTAGGGCACCATGGAAGATAAAAAACAGTTCTGCCTGTAAACACACTTGTCCCTACAGGCTCCTTGAGTGGCAGTTCAGAAGCACGAAGCACGTTTTCCGTTTCTTAATAGAACATCAAATCACACGCCCTGTCACTTGCGGATTGAAACTCTAGCTGTCTTACAGCTGTGTGACTACTGACACGATTAAAGGAGCACATAAAATCCTTGTAAAGATACTTGTCCATTTGGGACTCTCCAGAACTGCAACAGAGCTCATCGCCGCCCCAGTCAAAAGCCACAGTGTAGAACACATGGCAACATGAAAAACACAGCAGCACAGAAAAAAAGTGCAAAATGCTCACAGGTAAACTACAGCCTATTATAAATATGCAAACATGTTTTATTCTGTAGCAACTTGTAAGCAGCATAGAGAGGAGAAAGGTCACTGGAGAACTGAGCTGCAGAAGGTTTAGAGGCAATACAGGTGTTAGAAATAAAAAAAAATGGCTCTGTATATGTTAAATTGGAAGAGAAAAAGGAAAGAGCAGACATCAAAGAATGATTTTTCTCTGTGCTCTCTTTGATGGTAAGACCTAGCTGCTGTAGAGAAAGTAAAAATTCTTTTTTTTGGATAGGGGTTCTTGCCAAAGTGCTGTCACAACAGGAGACGAATGAGATAAAGGGCCACTCAAAACTGCCGTTACATTTAAGCTAACTACTCTGTTAATTCTGATTGTTTCTATGTTATTATTACAGAGACGTTTTCACACATTGATGAAGCACTTGCACAAGGAGTAGCGTCTCTCCTGAAGAGCATCATGGCAATACATCAAAGAGAAAATCCCCAAGAAAACATCTTGTTGACCCAAGGTACACAGTTTTCAGTTTAATCTTCTAACACCCTCTTGATTTTTTCCTGTTTCTTTTTACTGGTATATGTACACACACAGAAGGAAAAAAAAGGGGGAAATCACACTGAAGAAGAGAAACAAGGAGCGCTGCAAGGAAAAAAAGGTTAACTTCAAGATTATAAAAGATGCAAGGAATGTGAAGAATGTTAGCAAGTAAATAAATCAATAATCTACAAACATCATCTACATTCCTGAACTAACTTAAAAGTACGGATATTTGCCCTTTACATTCCTGACAAGATTTTCAAGGAAGACTCCATCTGCAGCTCTACGTACTTCTGTCAACACCCTAGTATCAAAAGAAACATTTCCACAGAGAATCTCTACTTCCTGATTTAACAGTTGTTTTTCTTGTAAATATGTTGGACCACCCCAGAAACATTAATAGGTTGAGATAAATGAAGTGATCATTACACTTACTTGAAAAAACTCAAGATCACTGTCAAAGAGTTGCAGGGACAAGAAACTACATTTCCGCTCCCCTTTCTCCGCCCCCTAAAACATAGATTACTAGAGTCTAACAGCTTTTGCAGAATAAAAGCACAGACCAATAAACCTGAAAGACTGAAGTGGTTTTACAGATGTATTTCTTCACAATAGTTTCAGCATACTACAAAGTAAGTGTTTTACAGAGGAAAAGGAAGTTGAGCAATTGAGATAAGAGGATATAAAAGTCACTAGATCGTAACAAGTTGGGAACATTCCGTATTTTTAATGGGGGGAAAAAATGCCCCACAAATATAAAACTAAAACTACGGATACGTCATCAAGCAATTTGGTACAATAGGAGCAGATCAGTGGAGTGAAAGAGTTGGTGCTGAGGTCCTGAAATCCACCCTGTGACATTTCAGGAGTTTTTACTTCAGACTAGCTCTAGACTGGTCCCATGAGCTGAGCATCCATTAGAGACCGAAGTGCCTCTCCTGTTTTAATTTTATCCAAAAAGGAATCCAGACCACCCTATGGTCCAAACCAAAGCACGGTAAATGCAGACAACAGACATTCAGCTCAGAAGTGTAATCCTGAGCCATGTGCTAACACAAACGTACCTGAATTTTCCATCTGCTTTTGATGTTATACACAGAAAAGGCTTGTCAAATCCAGTATCTAACTCTGTTTCAAAAAAACAAAAAAAAAAACCCAAAAATGCTAGCAAACAAAAACCTGGATAGGTATAGGATGATTCCAAGTGAGCACTGGTGCCCAGAAGTTCACTTGTGCCTATAAGGCATTACATGAATTCTACCAAAATTCCTTTGCCTCATAATGTAGGATGTTAAAGAATTAAAACAAAGCTGTTGCTAATATCATTCTACTGCCAAACAGGGAAGACTTCTCCCAACCATTCACAAATATTGAACAAAGCACTTAATTTTTTTTTTTTTTAAAACACAAATCTTTAATGTAACAGATGCAATTACTGGAAAAAAAACCAAAAAACAAAAAACCTTCTGTACCTGTATGTTGCTCTTCAATCCAAGCTTGCAGATACATGAAGAGGAGTAGACCAGCTACTCCAAACATCAGTACAGACACAAAGACTTGTCTTAGGTTCATGACCCTACCAGAGGGCTGCTTTTCAGCTTTCAGAAGGACGCATGGTTCACTTTCCACAGGTTTTCAGTGTGCCTGTATCTTCTTCAGTACCTTTTCCTGAGACACTGACCTGGAATAGTAAGAGATGCAGCTAGTTCTTATCTTACTTTATTCACCACTTCAGAAGCTGTTTAAACAGTGTACAAGATATAAGGTGCGGCTCTTATAAGCTATTTTTTCTAATGCTTTGATTTCTGTTCAGAATCTCAACATCCTTTGTACACCTCAATGAGTTCAAAGCAGAAGTTACCTCAGATACCATTTCACCTCCATGCAGATGGACACTAAGGTCTAGGATGACGGAAGGTGCCAACACCCCAGATGTCACAGTAACACACCACTGCCCACAAACTGCCACACTTGGGAGCTGCGGCAACAGCCAGAGCCCTCCCCAGGCGACCAGGGTGCGTGCTGGTGCTATCATACCTGGGCAGGCAGCAATCCAGCATCTCTGCTGCTGGAGCTGGTGCAAGCGGCCCTTTGCAAGGCTGTGCAGTCACCCTTGCACAATGGCTCTGCTCGTAACACCTCACCACAAGGTCAGCCTACGCTCTGGGGAATTATAACTAATGCTTACCCACAAACATGAATCCAAAAATCGACCTTCTCCAAACCTGCAAAAATCAGCATTGGATGGTATCAATAACTTGGCCTGCACAAAGGGAATATATGGATACTCTCTTTTACCCAGTCACTTTGCAACAGGGGAAAGACTCGTCAAAAACCTGTTTCTTGCCACTAACCTCAGTGGGAATAAGATCAAACGTAAAATCTTATCAAAAAGGTTTCTTTGTGGCACAGCAAAGGGCCCCAGAAGAAGGAAGAAATTTACCAAATGTGCTGCCTCTGCCACTAAGGGGTCATAAAATTCCATTTATAACAACAGAACATAGAAGATGCTGTAGAATATATTAAAAAAGGCAACTTTTTAACCCATACCAGAATGTGTTCTCCTTGAAAGCAGGTTACTAGGAGCTGAAAAGTAGCTGTTAAACTAGTCTGCACAGGCAGGGAAACAAAAATTGAAATTCAACACAGTGACCACCCTTGTGAGTGAGTATCTGATAGAAGTTTCTAATAAACTACAGCAAAGAATGCAATGAGAAACTTAAGCTTCTAAAGGACAACAGTATACTGAAAGATATTTGAAAGAGAAGTCTATTGAAAGAACAGAACTAAATTATATGTGCATTCAAATAAACAGAAAAAAATGTAGACATTTAACAGTTATTCTGAAATGTACAAATATTTCGCATTCCCAAAGTTTGTATTTTAAATAACTCAGCACTGCCACATCTCTAATTGTTGAGTTTCTAAAAAAAATACACATACACATAAGGTTTAATAGGAACGTCTATTAAGAATAGCTGAATGAAAAAGTAACTACATTTTCTAAGAGATAAAAGATTCCAAGAACAACAAAATGGTATTCAGAACTTTACAGAATTTTTTCAGTACTCTGCCATAAAAAAAAGGAGTTCTTTATGAAGCACAAACTTGCCTGCAAATCTGTTGCTGAAAAGGTAAACCATACTTCTAAGTATTTAACATTTTATATACAATTTTTCTATAGTCAGATAGATAACTAAACATTAACAGCACATAAAAGGAAGTCTTTTTTCATATAGGTCATGAAGTAACTTGTTCAAAAATGGAACACGGAAGGAAGGGAAGTAGGGGCTTTAATTCCATATAGTTCTTTCTGCCTTAATTCTGCAGAGATGGAATTCCCTACAGAGGGCATACCTGTTTCCTACATACCTATGTTCCCTGCATACCTGGCTGCAGCTATTATATTGCATTTCATTGGAAAGCAGCAGTGAAAACTGGACAAAAGAAAAGAAAATGCTTGGGGAATTCTTCATGAAATGCCTTTTGCCTGAGTGGGGGTAGCAGCATCTCCTTCCCGCAAGCTCTTTATTAGCTGCTATCACTTGCACCTTTTTCTCCAGCGCTCTCAGCAGTCTCAGACTTCCAGGCTTCCTTATCTATGCCAACAGGTTTACTTGGGTCTGTGCTGCCAATCTCTGCACCTAACTTCAGTCCTGCAGCAAATAGGCTGTTTGCAGGCCGCCTGAGCTTGCTCTGTTAACCAGATAGCAGCTTTCCAGCACGATCAACGCTTCAAGAACACTTACAGTTAAAGGACGAACAAATACAAAATTCTTCTACTTTTTTTCGCCCAAACAAAAGCTATGTTGTTCACATAACATGTTGTTCACTGACAGCATCTAGATCTAAAAAGACATTTGAATACTCTACAGGTCGGAACAAATATCTTTGAAAGAAAGAAATTAAACTGCAGGTACCAGAAACTGGAAATCAGTTTCTTTTGGAAAAGGTATTTGGGATTCATAACTTTCTCCTTACAAAAAGGAAGTAATCCAGATACTCATGGTGAATGCTGGCATGCTTCCAAATAAGCCAGCTTTTGTAATTTTGTCACTTCTGTTTCTATCTCTGACTCTCTGCGACTTTCACTTGCGTTTTCAGCTCTCCTTTCCGAGAGGGTGTCCTCGGGTGGGCAAGAAATGCTTCTTCAGGCCACACAATGACACTTTGCTTTCAGTATCTTGGCCCACAGCTCCATGAACAGGCCATACGTGTGCAGGCTGGCACTGCTCCTCACCCCAGCCACTCGTTCTCATCGCCCCTGCCCGCCCAGCCAGCACGAGCGCTCACAAGTCTGCACAGTAGCACTCAAACTGATCTAGCTGAAAACTGCTCCAGAAAGATGAAACGAGGACCTTGCTGCCAAAGGAAGCGGGCAAGCACTGGTTTACCAAACTACAGTCTCCAATAGACTTACCCAAGAAAAGTGCCTGCAGTTTTTTTTCTTCAAGCAATCCCAGCTACTATATGCATTCATGACACAGGATGGTCTATACGCAATATATAGCTCAGGGGTTGCATGCAGGACTAGCTACAAGCCTTGCATTATCACTTTTCAGACACACAGTAAAAATCAGTAGTGTCAAGCAACTTAATACATTAGTAGGGAATTTTTTTTTTACTAGGATTATTTCAGTTTTGAAGAGGTGAGAATCCCTCCAAAAAAATGGTAGTTTAAGATGCTTTCCACCCCTCCTTTCTTTTTAAACTACAGAAGAATGCTAAGAAGAGAAAGAAAAACCTCATGGCCAATTTATCTTAGGTGTCGTACATATAGCCACATCCCCAAACAATAACACCACCATCACAGTCATTACAATTATCTTTGTATCAGGAGTTTACATGCTACTTGTAATCAGTTTAACCTGTTTAAATTTAAGTGAAATTATATTCTTTATGTTCAGGCCATGTTTAAAATGAGATTAATTTTAAGTAAGACTACCTATTTTAACATAGGTCAGACAATAAACGCTAAAATACCCTGAAATTTGAAGATGCTCTTCTACCTTATAAGATTTTTAATGGCTTTTCAGCCTGAATAGTTCATTTAACTTGTTTAACACAGTGATTTGTCACCCATATATGAAAAAAAAAAAAGTCATAGAAGCATTAAAAGAAAGTCTGGGTCTGGGAGTCTTCCAAAAAAAAAAAAACTTTAAAAACGGCCACACAGCACTGACAAATTGCCTGTTCTAGCACTGAAAGCTGAGATCATGCATAACACTTCCAGCATCCTGGGAGAGCGGAAATACCTGCAAAGATTCTTTAATCAAGATTAATACTCCCTTATAGCTGTGAAGGAAGCACAAACAAGTAATTACTTTGAATCTAAGTATTTCCAAAAGAGCAATCCACAGGGGGGTTCAGTGTCCTAACTAGCTGTAAATCTTTCTTTTTCTCCCATTCTGGGGAACGCAGCTCCACTGGGTGATAGCTAGACAGCACGTCCGCTACACGGAAACTAAATACAGCTTAAGAAACTGATGCGTCCTGCTTACCTCCACTGAACTCAATTCCTTCTTTAGCCCAACCTCACCCACCTCTTTTTAAGCATCTGTTTCAACTTGAGCTTGCGCAGAGAATGCCACAATGACCCATGCACTTCAAAACGTCAAGCCCTTTTGACTATCTCAGAGACATTGCCACATATCATTCTTATCACTCACGGAGGCACAGTTATCGTGGCAGAAACAACATAACACGCTTTAGTTGACAACACAGAGCTTTTTGCAGCAAGACCTGACAAGTTCATAATCATTCACTTGGAGGCCAATCATTCACTTGGAGGCAAATTGTTTAATTCCACTGTCAGATTTCAGAGTTTCAGGAATCCACATTCCACTAACGTACAATTGCTGCATTTTTCCCTTTTATGTTTTGGGCTCTGCTCAAAGAGGCACATTCCTGTATAAGGCCAAGACAAACAAAATGAAATAGCATGGCCACCCAAAACGAGGAAGACAGCACCTCCCGCTTTTGGCTTGATTCCTCAGTCATCCACCTTTCTCTTGAGAAGAAAATACACTTGCAACTGAGAAGAGGCACCTCCTAGGGCCAGTCCATGCCAGTGAAATACAGTACTCAGGTACTGTTCCTGGCTTCTTGATATTTCAGACCACACACAAAACTTATGGCATTTGGTTGCAATATGTCTGGCTAACCTGAAACTTCCTTGCCACTCTCTTCCTCACCACCACCTAGTTCAGAAATCAAAAATATATAAAAGTAAAGTATGTTTGTCTCATGAAGTATTTACAAACCCTTCTTTTCCATTCTCTTTCACCTTCTTTTCTTTATCTGAAAAAAAGATGATGATTAGTGGTTAGTCAGTAGACTACTGATGAAAAAACAGACTCTCCTTACAATGGTCAAAGTATTCATGTTACTGCAGGTTACCACAAATACTTACTCACTAGCTCTGCATCGCCTCAGACAGACCTGAATTAATAAAAGCAAATTGGAAAAAGGATACAGAAAGCTACAACAACCTTTCACGGCTCACATTCATTTTTTGTTCCTTCCTCCTTTACCCCAAGAAGCAATACATGGGCTGATGCCTCCACTTGATTATCACAACAGGG